GAGAGAGGAAGGAAGGAAGGAAGGAAGGAAGGAAGGAAGGAAGGAAGGAAGGAAGGAAGGAAGGAAAGAGGAAGGAGGAAGGAGAGAGAGAGGGAGGAAGGAAGGTTGAAGGAAGGAGGGAAGGAAGAAGAAAGTAGAAGGAAGAAAAGGACAAAGGAGGAAGAAAGGAAGGAGGAAGAAACGAGGGACGTAGAAAGAAGAAAAGGAAGGAAGTAGAAGGAAGGAAGGAAGGAAGGAAAGAAGGAAGGAAGGAAGGAAGGAAGGAAGGAAGGAAGGAAGGAAGGAAGGAAGGAAGGAAGGAACTAGCCAGTCATCCCCAAATTTTATCCTCCCAGAAAACCATCTGTGTAATTTACAAAACTAATAATAGCCTCCTGTGAATCAACAGGACTGATTCACACACAAAGATGCATGAGATACTTGGTAGGATTTAATATGCTGACTTTCCTAATGAAGTGCTAGTGCTAGTGGCACTGATGATGTTACCTAGTTTGGCCAATGAAACCTCTGCAAGGAAACCAGCAAGCTCAGAGAGCAGCACCAAGGACCCTTCACTGACTTCCCTGTTTGAGGTTTTAGATGGCAGGTGTTTGTGCTTGTCTAATACATAGGAATCGCCTGAATTCAAATTTTCTACCATGGCAGAGCATCTGAAAGGCCACATGGTACTCCTTCCTGTGAGCAAGGAAGAATCAGAGCCAGTTTGGTATAGTGGTTTAGGGGCAGGCTTAGAAAGCAGGTGTTTGTAAGTTCTAGCCCTGCCATAGGCAGGAAAGAGATGTGTGTGACTTTCAGCCAATCCCCAGAAGATGGTGAGTTCTAGTCCCGCCTTAGTCATGAAAGCTGACTGGGTGATTTTGAACCAATCCCCAGGAGATGGTGAGTTCTAGTCCCGCCTTAGTCATGAAAGCTGGCTGGGTGATTTTGGACCAATCCCCAGGAGATGGTGAGTTCTAGTCCCGCCTTAGTCATGAAAGCTGTCTGGGTGATTTTGGACCAATCCCCAGGAGATGGTGAGTTCTAGTCCTGCCTTAGTCATGAAAGCTGGCTGGGTGATTTTGAACCAATCCCCAGGAGATGGTGAGTTCTAGTCCCGCCTTAGTCATGAAAGCTGACTGGGTGATTTTGAACCAATCACCAGGACATGTTGAGTTCTAGTCCCGCCTTAGTCATGAAAGTTGGTTTGGGCCAATTACCCTGATCATTGGGAATGAATTTCCTTTCCACTTGATGATGTTACCTAGTTGGGTGATGAAACGTCTGCAAGAAAACAACCAAGCTCAGAGACCACAAAGAACTCCACAGTCGTTGTCCTCCTCCCCCCCCTGCAAATCCTACTCCCTTCTAGCACTGATGATGTTACCTAGTCAGATCATGAGACATCTGCAAGAAAACAACTAAGCTCAGAGAGCACAAGCTCGAATCCGAGCTACAAATATTCTCTACTATTGAAATCAAGATGAGATACAGATACAGATAATCAGAGTTGGAAGGGACCTTGTAGGTCATCTAGTCCAACCCCCTGCCCAAGCAGGAGACCCTACACCATTTCTGACAAATGACAGTCCAATCTCTTCTTGAATGTCTCAACTGATGGCGCTCCCACAACTTCCGAGGGCAACTTCTGTTCCATGGGTTGATTGTTCTCACTGTCAGAAAGTTTCTCCTTATTTCCAGGTTGAATCTCTCCTTGATCAGTTTCCATCCATTATTCCTCGTCTGGCCTATAGGAGCTTTAGAAAATAGTTTGACCCCTTCTTCCTCCCTGTGGCAGCCCCTCAAATATTGGAAGACTGCTATCCTGTCTCCCCTGGTCCTTCTCTTCACTAGACTAGCCAGGCTCAGTTCCTGCAACCGTTCATCGTATGTTTTAGCCTCCAGTCCCCAAACCATCCTGGTTGCTCTTCTCTGTACTTTTTCTAGAGTCTCAACATCTTTTTTATAATGTGGTGACCAAAACTGGAGGCAGTACTCTAGGTGTGGTCTTACTAAGGCTTTATAGAGTGGTATTAGTACTTCCCTTGATCTCGATTGTATCCCTCTGTTAAATACAACAAAGATCCGGCTCATAGGATTCTCCAGCCTGAATTTCATGTGGAGCTGTCCATGGTGCTAAGTTGGATCTCTCCATTTCTTCCCCAACCTCAATATCCTTCTCCTCTTTCTCTTTCTCCTCCTCCTCTTCCAACTTCGATCTTCTTATTTATCAATCAGCTTTGATAAATAGCTAGGAACTACAGGTAGTCCTCGACTTACAACAGCTCATTTAGCGACCGTTCAAAGTTACAACGGCTCTGGAAAAAAACGGCTCTGCTTTTCCACGCGTCCCTACGGTCTCGCGATCAAAATGCAGACACTTGGCAAAGTGATTCACAATTACGATGGTCGCAGTGTTCCAGGGGTCGTGTGGTTCCCCTTTTGCGACCTTCTGACAGTGAAGCAAGCCAGATTCATTTAACAGCCATACTCCTAATTTAAGAACTACAGTGATTCACTTAACAACTGTGGCAAGGCAGGTTGTAACATGGGGCGTGAGGCCCCAGCTCCACCCTGCCCTCCTCGATCCATTTTTTCCCTTCCTGGGCCTCAGGGAAGCCTTTTGGGAGCAAAAACGCCCCCCAGGAGGCTTCCCCAAGGCCCAGAAGGCCCCAAAATGGGGGTGGGGTTGCTGCAAAAAAAGCCACGCCCACCCAGTCACAGGGCCATGCCCACCTAGCCACGCCCACCTAGCTACGCCTTACAGAACCGGTAGTAAAAAAAATTTGAATTCCACCACCGTTTGGGACCTCTGCTCTAAGCAAATCGTCAGGCTGCAAAAACTGAGAAAGTCACATCGCGTTTCTCCTAAACATTTTCTTTCCTTGTTCCTTATCAGCAAACAGAAATCTTTCGCAGCTGGGGCAAACTGCTTCCACCGTTAAATCTATACAGCGAGTCCTCGACTTACGACTTGTCGTGCTTAGGGACTTGTCGAAAGTGATGACAGACCACCCCGAAAGCTACAGGTAGTCCTCGCCCATTTGTTTAGTGACCGTTCAAAGTTGCAACGGCACTGGAAAAAAAAAAAAGGACTCGACCGTCTTTCCCACTTAATGGCTGTTGCAGCGTTCCCTGTAATCGGGTGAGCAAAGTTCATATTTATGACGGTTGCGGCGTCCCCTTTGGCGACCTTCTGACAAGCAAAGTCAACGGGGAAGCCAGATTCACTTAACAACCATGTAACTAGCTTAACAATTGAAGTGTTTCACTTAACAACCGTGATAAGAAAGGTCGTAAAGTGGGGAGAAAACTCATTTAACAACTACTTGGCAACAGAAATTTGTCAAGTCAAAGACTACCTGTATTTAATGACCATATCAGGGAACAAAGGGATGAGGTGGTTAAGCACGGCAACCACATCGTCGCTTTTGTTAACAACTGTCCTGACTTGTGACCGTAATGGGCAGGTCCCATTGCAGTGGTGAGCTGAAGACTACCTGGGAACTGTTAGAGAGGAGCTATCTACACCCTCTTTCTCCCACACAAACTATCTAAACTTCGCTCTCTTGCGCTCCTTTGGAATGGAGTCTTTCCCTTCTGGGGAATCCAGACCGCATTCCACTACACAAATGGGATGTACGTCTAAATACATCGGGCCTTTCCCCATCAGCAGAGTAATGAACCCGGTGACGGTGCAGTTAAAACGTCAGGACTGTCCTCCTGCTACTTGCCAGCCATACTTTGCCAAATGGCACTCTGCCAAAGCAATGGCGGGAGGGAGCTGCCGGAAGTAAAGGGGAGGTCGGGATGAGGGGAATTGAAATGACTTTTCGAACATCCCGTGGAGAGCCTCGGGCCATTCCAGCATCATGGAACGGGATGTGAGACCATTCATCCCACCAAGCCAGGGATTGTTACCAAAACAATTGGTCTGAATGTAATTGGGCCCTTTAAGATAACCAAAGGAAAGGCAGGGAGAAGGGGAAAGTTAACCAGATGATTTGGGCGCGAAACTTCAGATCCGGTTTTGCTACTCTGCTTTGGGCACAAAACTTCAGATCTGGTTTTGCAACCCTGTAACCACTTGGCTTTAGTAAAGTGTACTTTCCTTAACAATGGATTCGAGAGTCTTTCTTTTCTAACTGGCCAGGTTGGGACAGCTGACAGGCCGGCCACCCCCTCTCTTGGCAGCCGTTTTGGGGGGGACGCACGCAGCGCAGAATTTCAAAATTCCCCAAATATCCCATCTCAAGGACTTCTGATCCACCTCTCCCAGTAACATTTGGGCCTTTAATATTCTGAAAGGGATCGTCACTATTTCTGTTTTGTGTGTTTTAGGTTGGATTGCAGGTCAGGTGAGCTAAATAGAACAGGGTGAGCCGTGCGTGGCCAACAGCAAGTTAAGGCAGCCAGGAACGGGGAAACCCAAGGGAGCGAGAAAAATGTGTATCTAAAGCTTCAGAAAAGCTATATTTTATATTTGAACATGAGGGTGTTGTCGGTATGCCAGGGACAGGCAAGGCAGACCTGATGGAGGGGAGTGGGAGGCAGGCAGGCAAAGGAGGAAGGAAGGAAGGAAGTACACAATCTGGATCCTTCTTGGCAACGTTGGGATAGGGGTGAAGTACCCAGAGGATTTTAAATCACAAACTGACATTTTTCTCCTTCGAAAAGCTCCCGGGACAATGTCCAGCTGGAATATTTATTTATTTGTTTGTATCCGCCTTTATTATTTTTACAAAATAACTAAAGGCAGCAAACATATCCTCCTATTTCCCCACAACAACAACCCTGTGAGGTGGGTTGGGCTGAGAAAGAGAGACTGGCCTGACGTCTCCCAGCTGGCTTTTAGGCCTAAAGCAGGATGAGAGGCTTGCCTTTGCGCAGCCTGCCAAATCAAATTTTAACCAAGGTTTATGGAATAAATCACCTTTGGTGGCTTCGAACGAACCAGATTCATTACAAAACTTGGTTTAAACATCAGAAGACCTGGGTTTATAAAATACCCTTTGGGACAAATATGCATCCAATTTTTTAAAAAAAATTAATGTAATTTAATTATTTTATCTTACCTTATTTTATTATTTTATTATCTTATCTTCTAGGACAGTGGTGGCTAACCTTTTTGGGCTCCTGGGCCAAAAATTGTGTGCGTGCTTGCGCTCGGGCGCTCGCGTGCTCGTGTGCCAGCACCCAGAAGGCAATGCACTTCCCACCCATGCGCCCTGCGCATTTTCGGCCTCCCAGAGGCTTGAGGAAAGCCTCTGCAGCCCAAAAAATAGGCCCATTTCATCACTTCCTGTATGGAAATACAGGAAGTGACAAAACGGGCCTATTTTTGGGGCTGCAGAGGCTTTCCTCAAGCCTCTGGGAGGCCGAAAAATCTGCTGTGAGGCGCACGCATGCGCAGTGAGGTAAGTTTGCCTGCGGCTCGCATGCCGGCACAAATGGCTCTGCGTCCCACCTGTGGTATGCATGCCATAGGTTCACCATCACAGTAATAGGAAGTCCTCGACTTAATAGTGATTCATTCATTTAGTGACCCGTTCAAAGTTACAACGCCACTGGAAAAAAGTGACGTATGACCATTTCTCACACTTATGACCACTGCAGCATCCCCATGGTCATATGATCAAAATTCAGATGTTTGGCAAACTGGCTCATATTTATGACCGTTGTGGTGTCCTGGGGTCACGTGATCCCCTTTTGTGACCTTCTGACCAGCAAATCCATAGGAAAGCCAGATTCACTTAACAACCTTGTTACTAACTTAACAACTGTGATGATTCACTTAACAACTGTGGCAAGAAAGGTCGTAAAATGGGGCAAAACTCACTTAACAACTGTCTCACTTAGCAATGGAAATTTTGGGCTTAATTGTGGCCATAACTCGAGGACCACTTGAATTTTATTTTATTTATTTACATGTTGCCCATCTCCCTGTTGAGCAATTTTGACTCAGCCTGAGACGTCACTCTTTCTCTCGGCCCTCCCGTCAATGACTAAATTTCAATTTGAATATGTTCAGATCTAATCTACCCACTTCCTTTCATTTCTATCTCGATCCGACCCAAATTTCTTTCACTTTATATTACACTAGCTGATAACCCGATGTTGCCCAGGTATTTGTTTATCTTAATCCTATATTAGACAGGAAAAGCCCTGATTTCGGCAACCTGGAACAAACCTAATTTGTAATGTTGGATTTTTCCCCCCCTTAGCAGAGAGTGCCCCCTTGTGGAGTACTGTGAAACCGTTACCATGGCAACTCCACAGCGCTGTGCAGTAGAAGCCATTTTATGGCAGTACAGTAGAAGTCATTTGAAGGCACAATAGGCTGTATCTTGAACACACACCCTGAGGGATGTTAGGAGTGTCCTACCCCCGCAGTATTTGTTTCCAGAAAGTAAGTAATCTGTGTACCAAGTTTGGTTGAAATTGCTCGAGACGTTCCAGAGCTATGCTGGAAATATACATAGATTTCCGTCTCCTGCATGCCACAGTAGGTGCCCGAACTTTGCAAATCAGAGTTTAGAAGACCTGACAGAAGTAGTTTCCTCACCCACCCCCAACAGGCTGATCCAACAAAAAATAAGGCGAGATGACAACTACCTCCACGGCTCTCGCTGTCAGCAGGTTTCACCTGGATCGGCCGGGCCATCTGCAGAGAAATGGCAAAGGTTAGATGTCGCAGTGCTACAGAAAGGCTAAGCAAGTGATTATTATTATTATTATTTTGGTAATTTGTGAGAAGGATAGCAGGAGCAATTGGCGCCCGAAATAAAACACTACGGGTCAGAATTTCCAGAATAGTTCCAGGCTTCTACTGCCCCGTTGCAGGATACTCCGTTCCACACCTCCCGTTGGTTCGCTCCATTTATTGCGGCTGCCGCAAAGAAGAGGGGGGCAGCGCAGGGGGTGGTGGTGTCAACCTATTCTGCAGAAGCACCTGAAAGCAGAGCATGAAGCAACGGAGGGAAACCCATCAAGGAGAAATCCGACCTAGAAATAAGGAGACATTTTTTGAAATAACAGAATAATATTTGTAGGTTTTTGATTTCGACAGTGGTTTGCTCTCTGAGGTAAAATTAAGCGAAAAACTCTTTAGCTAAGGTAAAGATTAGGGCAAGACATTTTCTATCCAAGTCCTGCTTTCGGTTACTTAGCCTGGTAACAAAACTTTTGGGAACGAAATGGCAAGACCTCGGGAAAGCAAACCGTTGCCAAAAAATAAGGAGAAATTTCCTGACCGTGAGAAAAACTTGCCTCTAGATGTTGTGAATGCTCCAACCCTGGAAGTTTTTAAGAAGAGTCTGGGTAACCATCTGTGTGAAATGGGAAAGTGTCTCCTGCTTGAGCAGGGGTTTGGACTAGAAGACCTCCAAGGTCCCTTCCAGTTCCGTTATTCTGTTCCTTGTTTATTTGATTGATCTCGCGCAGTACATATATATCCGTTACAACCATAGACATTAAAATCCTGGCACCAAAATTAAGCCGCCACATGCAATTGTGCAACTCCACGCTGAGAAAGCTGAGTTTTGTGTGCTGGTCTAGGAATATAGCAAGGAAGAATTTGATTTGATTCGAACGGAGTTTAGCATTTCCTAAGCAAACTCGTATTTTTGCAATAGCCATAAGATGTTATGCGTTTACAATTCCTTCCAGGAATTCACAGGAAACCACTAGATGATTGTTGATTTGCTCATTAGTCTGGTCATCGGTAAAGGGACATCTTCCTTAACTGGGTGAAGTATCTGGCCATAGAGTCTGGATTTCACTTATCTTTCACCTTTTATGAAACTAAATTTAGAGGGAAGGAGGGAAAGAAAGAAGGAAGGAGGGAGGGAGGGATAGGAGGAGTAAGGGTGGGGAAAGAAGGAAGAAGGAGGAGGGAAAGAGGGGAAGGAGGAAGGGGGAAGGAAAAGTGTAGTTTTGGAGGTGGAGGTGTAACATGGGGGAGAAGGAGGAGGAGAAGGAAGAAAGGAGGGGAAGAGGGGAGGAGAAAGGGGGAAGAGGGGAAGAAGAAGGAAGGAAAGAAAGAAGGAAAAGTATAGGGATAGGAGGAATAACATGGGGAGAAGGAGGAGGGGAAGAGGGGAAGGAGAAACGGGGGAAGGGGGAAAGAAGAAGGAAGGAAGGAAAGAAGGAAGGAAAAGTGTAGGGATAGGAGGAGTAAGTAAGGTTGGGGGAGAAGGAGGAAGGAGGAGGAGGAGGGGAAGAGGGGAAGGAGGAAACAAGGGAGGGAGGGAGGGAGGAAGGAAGGAAGGGAGGAAGGAAGGAAGGAAGGAAGGAAGGAAGGAAGGAAGGAAGGAAGGAAGGAAGGAAGGAAGGAAGGAAGGAAGGAAGGGCCAAAGACATTTTATTGTGACTTAATGACACAATTTGGTTCAAGGGAATAAAGAAGAGAGGAACAGTCATTTTACTGGAGAGAGGAGGGGGAAAAATGTTTAGCATTCATGTACAATCCAGTAATTTGGAGGAGGCAGAATCATCTCGGCCATATTAAATTTTAAAATTTGGCAATCAGGCCACGTGTGAGGAAAAGTCAAGCGGTTCGGCCCACGTGGTCATATATGTGTTTTTAAAGACAGACACGACTCTCTCTCGTTGATTCTCCCCCCTCTCCCTCCTTGGGGAGTTGAAAATGCAAATGATCTCGAAGCCGTAGTGCTGAAAAGTCAAGAAGTGCAAGGAAAAAGCAGGATGAGTGACAACACCGGCGGCAACCGGCCTTGGAATTGACAATGAAGCTAGTGAAGTGGTTAGAGAGCTTCTTGTCTTTGAGGAGCAACCAACAGGAGTGAAGGAACCGGCTGTCAAGAAATATATCACAGGCTAATACCAGATAGAGCAGCTGTGAAGGTCTTGGAATATTTGAGGGGCTCCTACAAAGACGAGTCAAAACTATTTTTCAAAGCACCAAAAAGCAAGAAACAATGGATGGAAACTAACCAAGGAGAGAAGCAACATGGAATTAAGGAGAAACTTTCTACCGGTGAGAACAATTAACCAGTGGAACAGCTGGCCTTCAGAAGTTGTGGGTGCTCCATCACTGGAGGTTGTTTAAGAAGAGACTGGACAGCCACTTGTCTGAAACGGTATAGAATCTCCTGCTTAAGCAGGGGGTTGGACTAGAAGACCTCCAAGGTCCCTTCCAACTCTATTATTCTGTCAGGGCTCCAGCATCCACCCCTGTTTAAATCATGCGCCTCTACCCGCATCTCTCAGAGTTTAAAGAATATTTATGAGGAGTGAACATGCCAGTGCTATACCTGGGTATAGCTGACTCTGAGACACACCATTCATTTCACCTTTGACCCTGGTCTTCCCTACACCCCTTGGATGTATATTCTCCAATGAGACACGTCCATAGCCGGGAGTCATCAATCATGTACTCCAGTAATAATCTTGTGCGCCAGAAGCTTCGGTCGCTTAGAAATTATCTAAGGAATGCACTGCTTCCCCCATTCTCTTTCTGCTGGCAACTCTAAAAGACCAGAGAAATATTTTTGAGTTGACAAAACAGACCAGATGCTGAGAGGCTGGGATGTGTCTGCTCCTACAATAACTGGAATGACATATAAGCTATGATCGTCCCGCTGACCATCGATGGAAGCCAACGCTGGATTTTAGAATACCAGAATAACAGAGCTGGAAGGGACCCTGGAGGTCTTCAAGTCCAACCCCCTGTTTAGGCAGGAAACCCTATAGTACCATTTCAGACATATGGTTGCCCAATCTCTCAAAAACCTCCAATGATGGAACACCCGCCGGAATCCCGGCACAGCTGATCGTATGTACAGCTGATTGTCGGGAGGGGGGGGGAAAGAAAGAAATACCTTAGGCGAACCTCAGGCGGGCGGAGTGAGCGAGCATCAGGCGGGAGGGCAACCGGGTCGGGGGCGTGGCCAGGCAGAACTTACTACTGGTTCGGCGACCCATGCCAAATCCTTGCTACCGGTTTGCCTGATCCGTTGCGAACCGGCTGAATGCCACAATTGGTTCCACTGGTTAATTGTTCTCTCAGTCAGGAAATTCCTCCTTAGTTCTAAGTTGCTTCTCTCCTTGATTAGTTTTCATCCATTGCGTCTTGCTCTGCCTTCAGGGGCTTTGAAGAGGAGTTGACCTCCTCTTCTTTGTGGCAGCCCCCCCCTCAAACATTGGAAACTGCTATCATGTCATTCCTAGTCTTTCTTTTTGTTAGACTAGAGACATAGGAATAGCACTTAGACTTATATACTGCTTTATAGTGCTTTACAGCCCTCTCTAAGCAGTTTTACAGAGTCAGCAAATTGCCCCCAACAATCCGGGTCCTCATTTTACCCACCTCGGGAGGATGGAAGTCTGAGTCAACCTTTGAGCCCGGTGGGATTTGAACAGCCGATTGTCAGCAGAAGGTTGACTCAGCCTTCCATCCTTCTGAGGTGGGTAAAATGAGGACCCAAATTGTTGGGGACAGTATGCTGAGACTGTAAACCACTTTGAGAGGGCTGTAAAGCACTATAAAGCGGTATATAAGTCTAAGTGCTATTTTAAGATGGGTGGACTTCAACTCCCAGAATTCCCCAGCCAGCATACTTCCAGAGATGTGGACTTCCACTCCCAGAATGCTCTAGGCAGCATGCTTTAAGGCAAGCGTCTTCAAACTTGGCAAGTTTAAGACTTGTGGACTTCAACTCGCAGAATTCCTGAGTTAACATGACTGGAGAAGGAATTCTGGGAGTTGAAGTCCACAAGTCTTAAAGCTGTCAAGTTTGAAGACCCCTGGTTTAAGGCTTGGGGACTTCAATTCCCAGAATTCCTCCAACTGGGAGAATTCTGGGAGTTAAAGTCCACCCATCTCAAAGCAGCGGAGATGGAGAAACAGTGGTTTAGGTTGTTATTATAATACAACTCTTGGAGACATCCTTAATACAGATACTCCACGATTTACAACAGTTCATTTAGTGACCGTTCAAAGTTACAATGGACTTATGACTGTTTTTCACATTTATGACCATTGTAGCATCCGCATCATCATGGGATCATAATTCAGATGCTTGGCAACTGACTCATATTTATGACCATTGCAGTGTCCTGGGGTCACGCGATCCCCTTTTGTGACCTTCTGACAAGCAAACTCAATGGGGAAGCCAGATTCACTTAATGACCGTGTGGCTAGCTTATCGACTTCAGTGATTCACTTAACAACGGTGGAAGAAAGGTTGTAAAATGGGTCAAAACTCACTTAGCAAATTTCTCAGTGAACCACAAAAGTGTTGGGCTCAATTGTGGCCATAAGTCGAGGGCTACCTGTAACTTACGACCGTTGCCGTGTCCCGAGATCATTTGGGACCTTCTGCCAAGCAAGTGAGATTCGCTTAAAACAATCACGTCACTAACTGAATAACGGCAGGGATTCACTTAACAAGTTTGGCAAGAAAGCTCATAAAATGTGGCAAAATTCGCTTAACAAATGTCTTGTTTAGCAACGTAAATTCTGGGCTCAGTTGCAATCGTAAATTGAGGATTACCTGTAATGGCGTTTTTCTTCCGGAGAGTTAATTGAATCAGGCCACCTTTAAATCTTTGCAATCAATCAATCAATCAATCAAAGAAACAATCAACAGATTGTTTCTTTGATTGATTGATTGATTGATTGCAAAGATTTAAAGGTTTAGG